ATAGAGCTCGTCGAGCTGAGTATAGCAACGTCTAACGAACACCCAAAAAACTTTTTATAGTTTCGCTTTTTAAACATATATTTTGAATGAACGCCCACGAACATCCACGAACACACAGAAGAAAGGGTAAGAACACCCAAAAAAGTGCGTCAAATCCATCTTCAGGTTATTCTAGCCTGAGGGTGTGGTGTGGGGGTGAGGTACGGGTAGGTTCACTTACACCACACCCTCAGGCCAGAATAACCTGAAGCTGGATTTGGCGCACTTTTTTGGGTGTTCTTACCCTTTCTTCTTTGTGTTCGTGGATGTTCTTTGGGTGTTCGTAGGTGTTCGTGGGCGTTCATTCAAAATATATGTTTAAAAAGCGAAACTATAAAAAGTTTTTGGGTGTTCGTTAGACGTTGCTATACTCAGCTCGACGAGCTCTATCGATTGGCTAACTCAGATTTTAATTTGGGGGTGTTCGTGGCTGTTCGTGGCTGTTCGTAGCTGTTCGTGGGTGTTCGCGTCTTTTAGCAATACCCCATCAAAATGTGCTGTATGGTAGCTGCTCTAGTATATAGTAGCTGACAAAAGACTACAGTACGATTATGATATTCTTAGGATTTCTTGTTTCTTCTGTTTAAGAGTCATTGCACGAGAAAGACGACTGTTTCTCACAGATGCGTGTTCAATGACTATTTCAGATTTTTTTCTAAGTAGCTTCACCTTGTGGAGCGAAAACTTACAAATCCAAATGTGTAGTCTTCCCGAACTTTTCTTTCCGTAAATATGAAATTTTTTCGAGTGGAGTAAAGTTCTAGAAGTTATGCGCATGGAAAACCTACATTTCATTTTTCTCGTGAACAAGAAGAAATGAAACCACGATCTTTTCACGATAGGTAGTGCTTGAAGTCTACCATATAATGACATATAAATATTACGTATACCTCTTACCCCATACATTACAACAAGATCGAAACGGACCTTCATAGAGCACTTTTGTGAGCGATCGATCGCGTTATTCTGAACTTACGTTGAAGTCGGACTCCTTGCAGTAGATAGTACCCTCAGTGTACTATCTGGAATTACCGTCAAAATTTGGAATAAGCATATTTGTTACAGAAAGTTTTGAGACCAAAGTCGAAGTAAACGGTCGGCATAAGCATTTACTTTTCTGTCTTAATGAAAAATTATATATTTTTCCATCCTCACCCTCAGCAATAGAGATATGTAAAAAAAGCGTTTGAGTGCTATATAGGCATGCACCGATTTCGATTAATCGAAATCGAAAATATTCGAACCTTCGATTATTCGAAATCGAAAATAATCGAACCTTTTTTCTGTTTCTGGCAAAATACTAGAGCGACGTGAGAGTTCAGATTATTTGTGTAAAGTGTAAAATGAAG